TATATATATATATATTTTTTTTTTTGTGTGTGTGTTCACCTCCACAATCATTCGCAGATCCCTGACATATGTCCTCTCCGTTTCAACTATTTCCGTCACTACACGGTCCAGGTACGTCAGCTGATGGTTTGGCACCATGATGCTGTTCTGTTGCTGCCCAGGACTCTGCTTCCTGTTCTCAGACTGTGGGCATGGCATCTCCTCGTCTCCGTCCTCAACAGGGACTGGGTTCACATCGGGGGTGGGCTCCCCCAGGGATGAGGGCGAGGGGGCGAGGTCTCGGGAGACTCCAGAGCCCGAGGACAGCGTGGAGATCAGGCTTGGTGGACGTTGTTCTGAAGACCGGGAGGACGTGGCTGATGGTCCACTGTCATTACTGCTGATCGAGGCTGTGGAGAGGCGGAGCTCTGGGAAAAGAAAGGTGGTTCTTTAGTTTCTTACTCTAAGTATTTTACTCAGCTGTGTGTTTGAATTTCCCAGTGACAACTTCCTAGTTCAGTTTTGTCAACTCCAACCAAGCTCATTAGACTCAATGAATAATAGAGGACAAAATGGCCAAAGCTTATACTAATAGAAATGCTAATACAGCTGGGAAAACTACCAGCTGTCAGTCAGTCATTGATGCCAATAGTGGTTAAATTTAGACTGTGGTCATGTGACTACAGATTAGTCTGCAGGCACACACGTACACACAAACAAACACACGCAGACATTGTTCACTCTATAGTGCATCATGATCTGTTCAATCATTCAAAATTTAAATGTGGAATTTCAAACCATTTTCCTCTTTTAACCTAATCCTCACTTGAATCCTGAGCCTTGTATTTTTACTCACATCCTCAGCATTCCTCTGAGGGTCATGGTGAGGAAATAACTGAACTGCAAAAGACGTGGACATGTTTGTGTACAGTAAATAAACAAACATACCAGACACACACACACACACAAAGCAGTAGAGGACAGAGCCTACCTTTAAACCAGGACTCAGAACAAGACCAGGACCATGAACAGGTATGAGCAGGTCTTAAAGTACAAGATAGATGGAGTTTAATCCAATTAGTGTCTAAGAGACCAGACTCCGCCTACTGGACTCTCTCACTGACCTCTAACCTCACAGTGTTCGACCAAAGGAAGTGACATCACCAGAAAATAACAAACCACAGAAAGTGAACACAGGAAGTAGGATGAAAAGATTTATATCGTAAATATACCATATATTTAATTGATATATTTTGCAATTTTCAGCTAAATGTTAGCCAAAATAACCCAAAGTCACTGATTGAAATGGCCAAAGATTAGCGTAATGTTGGCCAAAGTAAAAGGTTACCCTTAAAAAAAAGGCTAAACCTTGTCTTGTGTCAAGTTAATGGAGTTTATTTGGTTGTTAGTGTTAAAGAGGTAACAGCCAGTCAGTTCAAACAAGTGGCAAATGTAACAGAAAAACAGCCAACAGTTTGTCAAATCTGACTTTACTTTGACAACAAAACAATCACATTAACATAACAACATTAGTGAAAAATACTGATTCTTCTCTGGAGTCAGTAAATGCAACGCAGTTTGTAACACAAACACAAGCATCTATTGTCCTGTGTGTGTGTAACAAAGACTGTTCTGTTGAAAAGGACAGGCACTGTTTTTCTGATCCTGACACTGGTTTAACAGTTTTTTAGCCAAACGTTTATTGTAAGAACATAAATTCAAAACAATTAGCGGAGTAATTAGTATTATCACTGGTATGGGCTCTAGATCCAGCATTGTTTACCATAATCACTGTTTTGATATCAGCAAGAGGACTTTTTTTTTAAGCATCAGAACAGTGTTGAGCATCAGCAACACTTTGGAAATGTCGCAGTGCCTCAGCATAAAATATTGCAAAGCAAATCACACACATGCAATGGCACACTATTAAGCATCAGCAAATCTGTCAGCATTAACACAATTGTTCAGCATTAACAGAGCAATTAGCATTAGCAGAGTGTTTAGCAACAGCAACATCATGAGCATTAGCACAGCATTTAGTATTAGCCAAGTGTGTTTGCAGAAAAAGTGTTGAGCATCAGCACAGTGTTTAGCATCAGCATTGTTATTAGCACAGTTTCAAACATCAGCACACTATTTAGCATCCACAAAGTTTTAATACAGTGTTTGGCATCACCCAAGTCATTAGCAGTGTTTACCAACACTATACAAAATCAGCACAGTTTAAAGCATGAAGACAAAATATAGCATTTAAGCTCTAGTAAAGTATTAATAAAGTATTTAGTGCCAGTAGAGCATCAGAAAAGCATTAGTACAGTGTTAGGCATCAGGGCAGTATTGACAGCACACACAGTAATACATGGTTTATACCTTGTGAACAGTCCTTAGTAACAGCAAAGTCATTTGCATTAGCAGTGTTTGCATCATCCCAGTTTTGCTTAAGCAAAGTTTCAGCATTAGCAAAGTGATCAGCTTTAGCTCTTTGCTAATCACCTGCTCAATATTATGAATGTGCAGCTTCTGGCATTGGGACATTGTTTAGCATCAGTAGAGTTATTCGTATCAGCAAAGTGTCTAGGCCAGGTGACAAGTCCAGACATGGAATCACATGACTATTTTCATCAGACATACATACAGGGATCAGTCTCACCTTGACCAGAGGTGTCCCCACAAGAAGGAGGGATAGAACCTTCAGGCATCGAGACGGACTATTCATGAAGACCTGGTGCAGCACAAAAACTCCAAACCCCTGTCGCCAGCTGTAACAGTTCTGATCAGGTCTGACCAAGACGAGGTCTGTGATCAAGACTTCCTGATATGGGCATGGATTGAGTGGATCAAGAAAAAACAGTTCCTTAAAAATCAAGGACAATTCAGAACACTTGGACTAGGACATCAAACCTGGACCCAGACCTCGGTTTAGACATCAGACAGTAATCCTCGGACCACGATTCAGACCCTGAGCCTCAGAGTACATGCTTAGGTCCGTGAACGCAGCACCCTCGACTCTCTTCCTGTTAGGCGTGTCTGTCTGATAAGAAAACGTCTGCAGGAGTGACGCAGAAATCAGAGCCCAGCTGTCAATCAAACAAAGCCGAACTTCAAGTAATTTTTGCGTGACCGGGACAATCGTCGCGACAAAGAATGACACGCATGCGTGTCTATAGACTAACAGAATAAGCGTTAAAGTTGATGTTTTCTACACGGGCGTAAGTAGCAGGAAGACACAAGGCAGAAGTTTATCGAATAAGCATGACGTAATTCAAAAATATAGCCGGCCGGAAATATGGACGGACACTGACTCACCTGTAAAGTTAACATACTCACACACTTACAGCAAGTAACACACTTACACAAAGTCACACATATGCTCACACACTCCTGTGCGTGCTGCCGCTCATACTGTCAACTGTGCGCATGCGCATAGTTTAAACCTGAAGGAAGAAATGCAGGAAAAGGGTTTTTGCTTTTTTGATTTGTACTACTGAAGAGCAGAAGGGGGCGCCACTGATAACACCGACAGAGAAATAAACATCTTTCTCCTTATGAGTTTTGTTTTCATATCTACTGCAGAAAAAAACCAATAAGAGTCATACACAATAAAAAATAAAGTTGTGTAAAATATTTCGTTTGTGTAGATAGATAGATTGGTATTTTAGGGACAATTAATTGAAGTAAATACATCCAAATATTTTATAGGAGCCTGTTAAACCTGATAGCAGCTTCGAGTGGCCTGTAAACAGAACCGTAATTCTGCCCTGGTTGAACAGGTCCAGCAGCCTGGCTGACCGGCTGAGTCAGGAGCAGTTTTTGGCCGGGTGATTTTACCTCGAAACGTTTATAGAGAAACAAACGAAGTACGAATGAAACCAGCAGTAACTGATTCATTTTGTTAGCGAAGGATTAAAAGTCTAGGGAGACTTCTTTGTAAATATCTACCACTGGGCTGAGGTTTTACCAATATATTTATAATTCTCGTACATGACAGCAGTACGACTACATTGAGTTTTTAAAAAGTTCTGTTTGAAGGGGAGTGTGGTGAGTGCTTTAGACATTTAACCAGACAGGACCACAAAATTAATAATAATAACTTTATTTATATAGCACATTTCATAAAACCATGTAGCTCAAAGTGCTACAAAAAAAAGTGGTTGGCAGAATTATTAGACATGTCGGTTGAACACGTCTATGACCCCTGGCAGCATCAACTCCGTCTTTCTCGGAAGAAACCTCAGGCAGGTCCAGCGGCCACCACGGAAGCCCTTCCGCCAGGGCTGGTAGAAGACTCTCTGAAGGGGGTCCAGGAGATGATGGCGGCGTAGTAGTCGTCTGCTTGTCGTCCGCTTGCGGTGCCAAGTGATGGATTCATGCTGCCTCGAGTAGTCGACGGCGAAGAGGTGTGCTCCTAAAAACTGTTTTATAGCATTTACTTGCTCTCAGGACAGGACCCAGGGCTGCCCGCCGCTGTTAGCGTCATCCAGTACTTCTACACAATTCCTATACCCGATCCGCTGCACGGACCACAACATTAACAACTTTATACATATATCACATTTCATAAAATCATGTATCTCAAAGTACATTAGTACTTTGAAAAAACCACCTGAGACACCGGATTGTAAGATTTATTGGATCCATTCTGACAGGGGCGGACGAAGATGAAGAGGGGGGTTTTGAAAAACGGGTTGTTTTTAGCATTTATTGGACATGTCGGGTGAACATGTCTTTAACCCCTGGCAGCATCCCCCCCGTCTTTCTCGGAAGAACCCTCGGGCAGGCCCAACGGCCACCCCGGAAGCCCTTCCGCCGGGGCTGGTAGAAGACTCTCTGCAGGGGGGCCAGGAGATGATGGCGGCGTAGTAGTCGTCTGCTTGTCGTCCACTTGCGGTGCCAAGTGATGGATTCATGCTGCCTCGAGTAGTCGACGGCGAAGAGGTGTGCTCCTAAAAACTGTTTTATAGCATTTACTTGCTCTCAGGACAGGACCCAGGGCTGCCCGCCGCCGTTAGGGTCATCCAGTACTTCTACACAATTCCTATACCCGATCCGCTGCACGGACCACAACATTAACAACTTTATACATATATCACATTTCATAAAATCATGTATCTCAAAGTACATTAGTACTTTGAAAAAAACACCTGAGACACAGGATTGTGAGATTTATTGGATCCATCCTGCCAGGGGTAGACGACGATGAAGAGGAGGGGTATGAAACACTGTTTGTTTTTAACATTTATTAGACATGTCAGGTGAACATGTCTATAAACCCTGGCAGCATCACCCCCGGCTTCCTCGGAAGAACCCTCAGGCACGTCCACCGGCCCCCACGGAAGCCCTTCCGCCGAGACTGGTAGAAGACTCTCTGAAGGGGTCCAGGAGATGATGGCGGCGTAGTAGTCGTCTGCTTGTCGTCCACTTGCGGTGCCAAGTGATGGATTCATGCTGCCTCGAGTAGTCGACGGCGAAGAGGTGTGCTCCTAAAAACTGTTTTATAGCTTTTCCTTGCTCTCAGGACAGGACCCAGGGCTGCCCGCCGCCGTTAGGGTCATCCAGTACTTCTACACAATTCCTATACCCGATCCGCTGCACGGGCCACAACATTAACAACTTTATACATATATCACATTTCATAAAATCATGTATCTCAAAGTACATTAGTACTTTGAAAAAACCACCTGAGACACCGGATTGTAAGATTTATTGGATCCGTGCTGCCAGGGGTAGACGGCGGTGAAGAGGAGTGTTATGAAACACTGCTTGTTTTTAGCATTTATTGGACATGTCGGGTGAACATGCCTAAACCCCTGGCAGCATCAACTCCGTCTTTCTCGGAAGGAACCTCAGGCAGGGCCAACGGCCACCACGGAAGCCCTCCGCCGAGACTGATAGAAGACTCTCTGAAGGGGTCCAGGAGATGATGGCGGCGTAGTAGTCGTCTGCTTGTCGTCCGCTTGCGGTGCCAAGTGATGACCACGACATTAACAGCTTTATACATATATCACATTTCATAAAACCATTTATCTCAAAGTACATTAGTACTTTGAAAAAAAACACCTGAGACACAGGATTGTGAGATTTATTGGATCCATCCTGCCAGGGGTAGACGACGGGGAAGAGGGGGGTTATGAAACACTGTTTTTTTTTAGCATTTATTAGACATGTCGGTGTAACATGTCTAAACCCCTGGCGGCATCCCCTCCGTCTTTCTCGAAAGAACCCTCGGGCAGGTCCACCGGCCACCACGGAAGCCCTCCGCCGAGTCCGCTTGCGGTGCCAAGTGATGGATTCATGCTGCCTCGAGTAGTCGACGGCGAAGAGGGGTGCTCCTAAAAACTGTTTTATAGCTTTTCCTTGCTCTCAGGACAGGCCCCAGGGCTGCCCGCCGCCGTTAGGGTCATCCAGTACTTCTACACAATTCCTATACCCGATCCGCTGCACGGACCACAACATTAACAACTTTATACATATATCACATTTCATAAAATCATGTATCTCAAAGTACATTAGTACTTTGAAAAAACCACCTGAGACACCGGATTGTAAGATTTATTGGATCCATGCTGCCTGGGGTAGACGACGGAGAAGAGGAGTGTTATGAAATACTGTTTGTTTTTAGCAACTGTTTGTTTTTAGCATTTATTAGACATGTCGGGTGAACATGTCTATAACCCCTGGCAGCAGCCCCTCCGTCTTTCTCGAAAGAACCCTCGGGCAGGCCCAGCGGCCACCACGGAAGCCCTCCGCCGAGACGGGGAGAAGACCCCCTGAAGGGGGGCCAGGAGATGATGGCGGCGTAGTAGTCGTCTGCTTGTCGTCCGCTTGCGGTGCCAAGTGATGACCACGACCACGGAAGCCCTTCCGCCGGGGCTGGTAGAAGACTCTCTGAAGGGGGTCCAGGTGATGATGGCGGCGTAGTAGTCGTCTGCTTGTCGTCCGCTTGCGGTGCCAAGTGATGACCACGACCACGGAAGCCCTTCCGCCGAGACTGGTAGAAGACTCTCTGAAGGGGTCCAGGAGATGATGGCGGCGTAGTAGTCGTCTGCTTGTCGTCCGCTTGCGGTGCCAAGTGATGACCACGACATTAACAGCTTTATACATATATCACATTTCATAAAATCATGTATCTCAAAGTGCATTAGTACTTTGAAAAAAACACCCGAGACACAGGATTGTGAGATTTATTGGATCCGTGCTGCCAGGGGTAGGCGACGGTGAAGAGGAGTGGTATGAAACACTGTTTGTTTTACACATTTATTAGACATGTCGGGGGAACATGTCTATAACCCCTGCCAGCATCACCTCCGTCCTTCTCCGAAGAAACCCCAGGCAGGTCCAACGGCCACCACGGAAGCCCTTCCGCCGAGACTGGTAGAAGACTCTCTGAAGGTTGTCCAGGAGATGATGGCGGCGGAGGAGTCGTCTGCTTGTCGTCCGCTTGCGGTGCCAAGGGATGACCACGACATTAACAGCTTTATACATATATCACATTTCATAAAATCATGTATCTCAAAGTGCATTAGTACTTTGAAAAAACCACCGGAGACACAGGTTTGTAAGATTTATTGGATCCGTGCTGCCAGGGGTAGACGACGGGGAAGAGGGGGGTTATGAAACACTGTTTTTTTTTAGCATTTATTAGCCATGTCGGGTGAACACGTCTAAACCCCCGGCAGCATCACCTCCGGCTTGCTCGGAAGAAACCCCAGGCAGGGCCAGCGGCCACCACGGAAGCCCTTCCGCCGAGACTGGTAGAAGACTCTCTGAAGGGTGTCCAGGAGATGATGGCGGCGGAGGAGTCGTCTGCTTGTCGTCCGCTTGCGGTGCCAAGGGATGACCACGACATTAACAACTTTACACATATATCACATTTCATAAAATCATGTATCTCAAAGTGCATTAGTACTTTGAAAAAACCACCTGAGACACAGGATTATAAGATTTATTGGATCCATCCTGCCAGGGGTAGACGACGGGGAAGAGGAGTGGTATGAAACACTGTTTGTTTTACACATTTATTAGACATGTCGGTGTAACATGTCTAAACCCCCGGCAGCATCACCTCCGGCTTGCTCGGAAGAAACCCCAGGCAGGGCCAACGGCCACCCCGGAAGCCCTTCCGCCGAGACTGGTAGAAGACTCTCTGAAGGTTGTCCAGGAGATGATGGCGGCGTAGTAGTCGTCTGCTTGTCGTCCGCTTGCGGTGCCAAGGGATGACCACGACATTAACAACTTTACACATATATCACATTTCATAAAATCATGTATCTCAAAGTGCATTAGTACTTTGAAAAAACCACCTGAGACACAGGATTGTAAGATTTATTAGATGTGTCGTCTGATGGATCCATGCTGCCAGGGGTAGACGACGGTGAAGAGGAGTGTTATGAAACACTGTTTGTTCTTTAGCATTCGTTTGTTCGTGTGAAGAGTGAGGCCTCTCTGATGTGTTGTGGTTGGGCGTTCTACCTTTTCGGTGCGTGATGGGCAAAGGCTTCTTCCCCGATCTTCTTGTCTTTAGCTCATGATGGACGTTCTGGTGGCGCTCGTTCATATACTCCGGAGACGGTTCTGGCGACATTGAACTGCATACTTCTTGGCACCGCCCAGCCGGACTCCTGTCCCATTCTTCCGGGGTCAACCAGGTCTTCCGATGTCCGTCGATGTCTCCGGAACGTGAACGGCGGTCAAAGCTGATGATTTCATTACTGTACATATACAGTTAACTTATGGTGCCTATTTAATATGCATATGTCTAAACTGTGATTGGCTCGATTGTCATTACGTCCTGACTTGATCTTTTGATCTTGTTTTTGATGGCGAAAGTTACTGTTTATTATAGGAATTATGCCTGTCATGCGTGGAATTAAATATTGGACATACATTTTGGCGTTTGATGTAATTGGATTATGTTTTATTTGGCCCCTAACTCCTATCTTTTCTCCTTGTCCTAGCCACAGGCAAAAGCTGCCCTTCTCTGCCTGCTGACATTGTAGCAGCACTGACACTTTCCATAACTTTAAAACGGCTGGCCGTGCTGGACTGGAAGTACAGCTGTCATTGAATACTCCAGTCATGTCCTTCATCTTTTGCCTCTGTGCGAAAATGTTCACGGCTATAATGATTTTATTTGGAATTTATTTTATTTTCAGACAAAAGCAGACGAAGCTTTGAACGAATCTACGAGAACGACTCTGCGAAAACAAATTTGTGATAACGAATCTGTGAGAGCGAATCTGTGCAGCCCGAGCAGTCTATCACAAATGTACAAATCATGTTAGAGGACAAGTGAATGTAAAACTATTTTTGACAATTAGTAATTAATTCGCAGAGACTGATTCACTGTATTCAGACAGGAACCTGTTTTGACATTCACGATGGTGATTTGGTTACATTTTGTAAAACAGTGTCTCTGAGCACTATGATAATACAAAGATGACCTCTTTCATCCCTGAATGAACAGCTATCTAAGCAGTGATGTCATGACTGTATGTAATGGGTTGACAGAGCTTTCCTAATTGCTAAATATTGACGTTCATTTTTGTGAGCTGAAAAACCTGCACAAAATAAACCCTTGCAAAAACCCCGATAAAATAATTGACACAATTGTGACCCCTGTCTTAGAACTTTCTGACTTGCTTGTCTTGGAATTGTGATGGCAGACAATACTGTGCTGAGATGAGATGATGTCAAGGATCATTTCCTTGAATACTCTCGTTCTTAAACAGTGTTCCCATGTCACTTGGTTGTAACCTGTTAAGTGTAGAATTAATTTGAAAATTAGCGCAAGTACTGATAAGTAACTTTAGAGAACATTGTAGCGTAGTTTAGGCTCCATGCTGTCTATTTTGCTCTTTTTAATTTGGATGATGATAGACTACAATTAGTGAGAGATTGTCCTTGGAAATCCTATTAAAAGCTGAACAAAAGGCTTTTGTACAACCACATAAAACATTAAAATGAAAAAAAAAGCAAAAAAACGTTAACCAGACAGACATTTACAAAAACATCTGAGTCCATTTGAACCGAAGACAACTGCAGACCTGCTCCTCTCTGTTGCTGAAATAAAATCAAAGCGTCTCTGTAGTTTTTAGTCAAATATAAAGCTCGTCCTTAACAAAGATCAAGGCCAAGTCCAGGCTTTTATGCAGTGCAGGGTATTGTCCTCATCATGTAAATTTTCATGATGAAAGGAGTTGTGTTCTAGCAAACAGCTGAGTGATCTGAAATCCCTGATCTGACACTGACACCCACACAGTCTGTGAGCCTCCATGTCTTCATGGCTCAGTAAAATATTAATCAGGACCGGAGCAATAACAGTTATGGCCACAAAACACATTCACAGCGCTAAATATTCAGGAGAATGTTCACACAGAGAAAGAGATTTGTATAATTTAGTGGTTCAGTGCCTTTGATAACCACTGACTGGGTGGCTCTCACTGAGCCTCCAGTCACAGACTTCCTCCCATGGGAGTGTAGAGGAAACTGCAGTGTCGTGATCCACAAGTATTTTTTTTTTTTTTTATCTCCTGCAATGCACTCATGTGGCAGCAGGGCTCCGTGTACCCCAGATAGAAAAAAAACTGCTTTAAGCCATGATTATTTCAGCTCCCATAGTAAAGGTCGTCTGCAGTAAACTAAAAAGCATGTGCGAACATTCTTAGTCACAAAACCCACACATGAGAGAGCAGATATGTGAAGCAGGACATTCACATTAAGCTCACAGAGGTTGCCATTTCCTGGGTCATAATTCCCGAGACATGAATGGAATTGAATATACTGTAGGGCATATATTAGGGTCAGAGAATGTTGTGTGACCGTTGTCTTAAAAATGAATTTTTGTAGCAGCTGATACCCTTTTTACATTTTACATTCACCTCACTGCTTTCAAAATGTCTTTATTTTGTGCTTCTTTCTCAAGTAGTCCAGCAGTTACTACAATACTAGAGAATTGAACTGTTGACCTCCTTGCTGTTAAGCAAGAGCACTAATCACTATTTTACCATAGGGTCCAGTGTATGGATAAATTATATAATTAAATGACATTTTAAAAAATATATTTATGTTCAACTTTAGGAGAAATAAAAAAAAACTAAAGAAAAGCCAATGGAAACCAGTGCGGTTTGTTTGTTTGTTTGTTCTTTCTGACCTCGGGTGTCTCCTGGCATTCAACACAACCATGTCACTCAAACTGTTGGCTGTGGTATCCCACAAACGCATTCGTTTAATTCTTCTTCTGAATGAGACTTGACTATAACAGCATTAGCCATCCTTTAACCTCTTGTCACTAAATGTTGACATCAACATTTCACTCAGGTCTCTCTTTTTCTCTACTTGGTCTAATGAACCACGACATGCAGGGAGCCTGAAGCGTTCCTCCCACGCTGCTCCAGCCCACTCCTCTCTCCCTATTTGAGCCACTGCTCTCTCTGCTACAGTCCTCAGAGCAGCAGGCGCAGAGTCAGCGCAGCTCTCTCCTGCTCAGGAGGCATAACTTGCTTTTTCAAAATTTCATTTCTTGGATTTACTTTCTTCTCACCAAGATGAGACTTGTTCTCGTTGTTGTTGCTGTTCTTTTGACAGGTAGGTGGAAAAATGTCGTCTGTCTTTAGGTTCTCACTAAGAGAGGAGAGTTCAGCACCATGGACAGATCTCCTCTGTTTTTAATCCTACAGTAAATCCAATTTAAAAACAGTGACACAGATATTTTTTTTTACTTGTATTTGCAGAAAATCTTGCGCTTCCGGTGGGGAAAGAAGGACAGAGAGAAGATGTGGTATGTTTTTCTAATACAGTCTGACAATAAGAGCTCTGTGTTCTTTATGCAAGCAGTGCAGCCTGCACACAAGTTTATAGTTGAAAATCTCTGAATTGTCTCTGAATTTTTGTAGATAACACGCTGCTTGGTTGAGGTCTTGTCCAAAGCTCTGTCCAAACCAGACTCTCAGCTGGACCAGGAATGTAAAGACATCCTCCAGACAGGTTTGTAGTGCATTCAGGGAGTGAGATTCTTCATTCTGGCATAAAATTCATTCAACCGAATTAAATCAATATTGATAAAAATGAATTACAGTTTAGTCACTTGCAACTTGTTGTCTATTGTGAGCCAATCATTACATCTCAGCTGATCTTTCTGCAGGGATTAAACACACCCCACTAAACAAGAAGAGTGCAGAGGGTATAATACTGCATGAGGAGGTGGTCAGAGGTCAGCCGGAGGGAACTGAGGCAAAGACAAGTGACGTGAAAGACATTGAGGCACTGCTACAGTCCGTGGCAGAAAAGAAAGATCCTCCTGAAAACAAACAGGGAGAGGAATCCTGGAATTTGGGTGGCAAGACAGAGAAGGGATATGAAAATGAAGTGGAAGAAGCACGGGAGAAAAGAAGCAACTGGAGGCCGGGAAGATACCACCAAAAACATCACAAGAGAGGTGAAGAAGAGGAAGTGGACAATGAGCGTAGTCAGGAGAGTTGGGGGCTGTTTGACAAAAAATCAGTAGAAGAAGAGGAAGACGAGGAGCAGAGGGACGGTACAGAAAGGGAGAAAAGGAAATGGAGGCCTGGGAGGCACTACCAAAAGCAACACAAGCGAGGTGAAGATGATGACTATGAGCGAAGTCAGGAAAGTTGGGGGGCATTTGAAAAGAGATCAGAAGAAGAAGAGGAAGAGGGGGAAAAGGAGGACGGTGGAGAAAGAGAGAAAAGGAAATGGAGAATCGGAAGACACCATCAGAAACCACACAAACGAGATGAAGAATCCTTAGGAGAAGAAAGGGAGGAGCCTGAAGAGGAACGTAGCCAAGAGTCCTGGGATCTGGATAAGAGGTATGTCAATGAGGAGGAGGAGGAAAGAAGCAAACGCATATGGAAACCCACACGTCCCTACCACCACAAGAAGAAGATCCATAAACGTGGTGATGAACCGTCTGAGGTGGGGGAAGATGAAGAGCGTAGCCAGGAATCTTGGGGTCTTGATGATGATGAACGAGACAAAAGGAATTGGAAACCAGGAAGGTACCATCAGAGGAGACATAAACGTGATGAAGAGCTGTCTGAGGAGGGCAGAGAAGATCCAGATGAAGAACGCAGCCAAGAATACTGGGACTTCGACACTGGACGGTACAAAAGAAATTGGAGACCTGGCAGGCATCACCAGAGGAGACACAAACGTGATGAAGAACTGCTCGAGGAAGCAGCAGAAGATCCATACGATCGCAGCCAGGAATACTGGGACTTTGACTCTGGAATATACAAGAGAGACTGGAGGCCCGGCAGGTATCACCAGAGGAGACATAAACGTGACGAGGAGCTTGCAGAAGAGAAACGAGAAGAGGAGTACGGTGACCGCAGTCAGGAATACTGGGATTTTGACAAAAGACACGATAAAGAAGACGGAGAGGTGGAAAAACGCATCTGGAAACCAACACACCGATACCACCACAAAAAGAAATTGCACAGGCGTGATGGAGAATCATCAGAGAATGACGATGTTTCAGAGGAATATGAAGGCACCTCAAAGGACAGGGAAGAAGCTGAGAGGTACTTCTGTTACTGATGAATTAGAAGCAATCATTCACCACGTGCAGAAATATATTTTATGCCCAGATATATTTCTTTGTGAGCACTCCCTGTAACTAGGTCTACTTCCAGGTACCTGGAAGAAAAGCGTAATCCGTGGATCTACAGAGGCTTCTACCATCCTGCCTGGTATAAAAGGGAACCAAATGAGCACGCAGCAAACTCAGAGAAGGTGAGATTAATGAGGGGTTCTCCCGTCGGCGCTTATCAAAGTGAAAGAAGAAGATTTAAACTAACTGCTTTGTGTTTCTTATACACAAGGCTTTATTTGCATTTTGTTTCCTCCTGGGTTTCAGATGGATGAACTGGCCAAGATGGTGAGCTATAAGATAAATCAGCTGGCCAACCACTCTAATCAAGAGGTGGTAAAGAGAAGCACACACCCGAGAGTCCTCACCCCACAGGAGGTGAGTGCTGCATTCACTGACAGAAAACAAAAAACTTTTTACTGCCACACTCACATTATCACCACACCATTAATGTTTGTCTAATGTCTGATGTTGACTCCAGCGTGTGTTAGAACGTACCGGAATAGACATGGGATCAATGTACAAAATGAAGCAGGACATGCGGTACAACAAATAAATCTGTAGAGAGACTCTTCACCTCCTGCTCTGCAGCCAGCTCTATAATCAATGACCACTGTACCGTACATTTAGCTGACCCAGTGAGGCTATTAAGAACATAACTCCACCATAGTAGGAGAAAGCAGCCAAGCTGGTAATGGAATTCACTCATCTTTATGGACATGTCAAGATTTTACAGAGGGAATGTCAAAAGAGTAAATGTACTTTGTGAATGTGGCAAAAATAAATTAATAATAGAGTCATATATAAAGAGGTAGATGGATAAAGAAACATCTCTTCCTTACTGTTATATGTGTTTATCAGGATTTATTACACCTCCAGTAATCTCTAAAATCATCTGAAGTCGCAGTCATAACGCTGCCATCTTAAAACACTATAGGGTACAAATAAATATCCAACCTCTAATTCACATCTGCTCTATTAAGACACACAGCTAAAAAGAAAGATTAATATTTGACAGCTGTTTGGTTTTGTTTTTTCATACTTGACCACAGGAAACACTTCTAATTAGTGAATTATTTTTTGTTTTCCAGGATAAGGAGATGGAAAACCTGGCAGCCATGGACACAGAGCTGCAGAAAATCGCCACCAAGTTGCATGATAACAGCGCCTAAGCGAGCTGCGAGAGCATTCGAAGACACTATCAGTGTGAAACAGCTGCTCTTCTTATCGCATGTCTGCCATTAAACTGTGCTAACGTTGTAACAAAGACTAAGGCCTTGCCAAAAACACTTGTTCATCATTGTTGTTGTGATGCCTTTTGGTGTTAATAAATGTTTCAGCATGGAAATAAACTTGATGTTTATATTTAATAAATATGTCAGATAGAGATAAATTGTGTTCTAACGAGTTGTCTCAATGTGCAACTAATAAAAGACGTTATTCTGGGACTAAAGAGAGAACTGAAATTATTTTTATGGTGGGGAAAAAATAACTATGAACATTTACAAGTCAAATAAAAGTGACCCTCTTACAGCCAGGAAGCATTAACTGGATGAGAAATATATTTTACAACACAGTTAGTTTAATTTGTCATTCTCAATACAATAAATGGTTAATGTCATGTTGAAAGAAAATATTTCAGAACATACAGCTGCACTGTTAACACATTTAACAGGAATTACAGACCTGTCAAATAATTTGAGTAGGAAACAAAGGTCAGACCGGCGAGCTGTTCTGAATGCGTTTGCGTGTGTGTTTATTCCACAGTGTCCGTCAGTTTCATTTTCTTTGTTGCTGGTTCCTCGGCTGGTGTGGAGCCTGAAGGTTTGGCGCTGTCCACGGCAACAGTTGTCCCTGAAAGAATGTAGCCCCCGCCCCCACTCATCAGCAGCAGAGGATGGGTCCTGTTAGGCAACACCTAGGGACACAGCACCGAGACAGAGTCAGAACATATTACGTCTAACGCAGGAAGGACCAGAGGAAATAACACAGCAGCCCTGAGGTGAAAGAACTCTTTAGGTATGCAGATATTTCTTTTTGTTGGTACAGTTTATTTTCAGCTGCTGGACGCTGAAACATTTCTAAGGTTGAGCAGACGAGTGAAAGCTGTTACAACAGTAATATAATTCACTGTATAAAGCGAATGCAATATAACCAAGTATTGATCGGAAGCTCTAACACACACGTGCAACTCAGAGCCCTGAGGTTGCGTCAGCTCCTTGACCCATGACATTCTAAAAGAGAGAGAAAACAAAACCCAACCGCAGAATCAATACAGAACAAAGAACCTTCAGCCTGTGCACTGACACCAGTGTGAAACTTCAACCAGTCTCCAGTGAAAGAACAGTAGGATGACTCACATGCCACATTAGACACTTACGCAGATTAAACAACTTATTGTAGCAGGTGTTTAAAAAAAAAGAAAATCTGTTCAAACAGCAAAAGACTGAATTATGACTTTTTAACTTAACTATTATAGTAATGGAAATTTGGCAAACTGGGGTCAGTTAACATGAAAACAGTGCATTCTAGGGCTCCCTAATCCTTTTCTCCATCAGTTTGCAGGCTTGTCCTAAAAACCCCTCAAATACCTCTAATACAGATAGTTGAACTGACCAACTTATTATATATTATCTGCACAGTGGTGACATTGATCCGACCTTTGACCTCTTCAATTTCAATGGACACTAAACATGTATGTTAATCAAAACTTTCTTGCAGGCTATCCTCAAATATGTAGTTAAAGACATGGGGATCTATGGTTGGCAGAGAGGGACAACTCTGAAAACATAACGCCTTGGGCCGTGTGTCTTTTTCCAACACAACTTTATAACAACGTTACCTGATAATGTCGGAGCCACGTGTCTGTTAGTCTGAGGTTGACAGTACCGCCGTGTTCCTTCAGCTTTGTGAAGCACTCGACAAGAGGCTGCGAGAGTTTGAAGGAGAGGAGACGGGGAAAAAGGACACATTAAAAACGGGCTTCAGAGCCAGTGACACACACACACGTTTTAGCAACATAAGCACATCAGAGGTAATAAGTGGAGGGACGTGATATAAGCACCGTAACTCCTTGGCAGTGACAGCCACGGGTGTTGCAGTAATGAAATCACTGCATTTCCCATTGGAACCCTAGGTAATAAAGCCTGTGTGTAAAAGCGGCTAATGACATGATGAAAGAGTTGGTCCTAGTTCAGAGGAGGGCAAACTTTTTGAGTCATGTCACAATGGGTTCTAAAATTTGAGGGGGGGCGGGAGCACATGGATGAAGATGGAGTGTTGGGGTGAACTAAGATAAATGACCAGTGAATGCTTTTAGCCTTTACTACTCTTAGTGGCAATGTGATGACTGATACTGTATTGAACACTTGGCCTTGGACTCGCCCATTTTTACTGAAGTTCAAACAAAACAAAAAAAAAAAAAACGAACGGGCAGTATCCAGCCCACGGGTCATAGTTTGCCCAAGCCTGTTCTAGTAAGTGCAACTACTGACTTTACCTCTTTGTACTGACTGTAGACAACGAATGGCCTGGAGGGGGAGAGGAATTTAAGCAGCCCCATTAGAACTGGACAGGGGTGGAATCGACTAGCGATGATTAATCTGTAAATAGAAACAAAGAGATGATGAAGGGTAGGTGGAGTCTGCCCTGAGATATAGCCTCAACAGTAGAATGTTAGTGGTAAAAGTGCAATTTAACATTTAACAGCTTATTACTGGAAAGACGCTGGTTCTTCTATATTCCATAATAAAATGACAGTACAAAAAAAAAAAAAAAATCAACAGGATGATTCAGTAGGGTCTCGGAAAATCCATGAGAGCGTTTATGACTTGGAGGAGATGATCTAGTGGAGAGGCGAGTTAACAGCGCCACCCAATCAATACTTGTTCATCTGGCTTTGGTTTCACGCTCGCAACGTTCATAAATCACCAAAAGGCTATGAAGCGAATCTTTTATTTCATGGTAGGAAACTGCAAGGCCATCACTTTGTTCACCTTTTAAAGGCACGTGGAACTAAAGCCAGGACATGAACGAGGAGGAAAGAGACAGAGAGTTCGGGATTAGGGTTACTGCCATAACTCTCATCATTGTTCATTTTTAGTACTTCTGATTTTAATAGTCTGGTGGTACAAAAATAGATGGGCATGTTCTCCAAATTAAAGGTAGCCACGTACTGTAGTTACCTTGTATTTGAAAGTGCTAAAAGTGTTCTTTCTCATGTTGTGCAAGAAAGATCTGGGTTTATTTCTAAATCAAATTCATACATAAGTTTCTGATGAAGTGCACAAACTTATTTGGCAGTTGAGTTTGTAGACTGAAGGAGAGAGAAAAAAAAGTTTCGACACAGACCCGTCAGCATTTCTGCCTTCCAGCAAAGCTGCGGCAGCTGCCAGCTTCCTTCGCTTCTCCTCAGCCTGAATGACCAAATCAAATGATTATTGAAAGCATAACAAGTAATAATTAAGAAGTATTTTACGTAGCTAACAAACATACTTTGGCTTCTCTGCGTTGTTCCTTCTCTTTTCTCTCTTGGTCCATGGCAGTCTCATTATTCCCACCTGTCTCCATCGTCTGTTCTTCTGGACTGTCCTGCGGTTCTGCCTCAGGCTGGTTCTGCTTGTCCTCTGCAGCCTGGTCAGACTCTTTTTTATCTGGGAGAATGACAATGTATTTATAACTGTACTGTACACAGTTGGTCAGCAAAGTTTAGAATACATAACTTTTATTCCTGCATCACAACAGAAATAAAATGAAGCCTTAATTTTCTATCCCCCCCTCTATATTCAGACCTACAAATGTGAAAGTTTTAAACTACAACTACGAGACAAATCCATTGGTATGAACAGCATTAGGATAGAAATATACACACTTGTGTCTTTGTGGCTTGTGTCCAGAGTGCCTGCCAGCAGAGCATTGACGTGACAGATGGGAAAATCATGCAGTGTATCATGGAAATGTGCAGGGAAGCCGAAGTTCTCCACACCGGCTCGAGCAGGTCCTCCTCCTGGGTACATCTGAATCACTGAACCATAGCCTGAAAGATGTGCAGAGACAGTAATTACACAAAGACGTGAACATTATATCATTGGAGATCACCGGGAACAACGATGGAATTACAATGAACATTATATCATTGGAGATGAACACAGGATCACCGGGAACAACGATGGAATTACACACAGCAGAAACATCACGTACCTCCCATTCTTTCCATGACAGCTCCCAGCACGAGGCCTGCACAGGTCTCAAACACCAAGACTTTGCTGCCTGCATGGATGTTTGCCAGAGTCAACATCTGGGCCAGTGTGTCGTACCGCAGGTGGCTACATTACACAAAAACACACACACACACACACACACAGTGTCCAAATGGATCTTTACTCACACTACTTAAAAACCTTTATAATTCCTACGTGCCGACTCACCAGATCTTGCCAGGTTCTCGGCCGTGGTACATCATCGCCAGGATGCGACAGGAAGGTTTGAGAATCATTATTGTGTTTTCATACCTAAAAACAAACAAACAAACAAACAATGGGCAATAACTGCAATGTCTGGATAGTCCTTACACCATGTGATTTTAAATTACTCACTTCTTCTTTTTCTTCTTGATGTACTTGTCCTGAGCAAACTCTGTCTTATCCCTGAATGTGGAGCTGTTCTCTATGAGCTGCTGAATGATTTCCTAAAGTAGCACAAACAATTTATTTTCAGTTAAAAAATAAGAATCAATAATATGTCTTTCTTTGTAAATCCCATGTGCTATGCTGCTGTTGAAATTTGATAATTATACAAAAGGGAAGCACCTGTCCCATGTGGTTGGTTAGGGTTAATGAATCATTATTATTAAAATGTATGTGGACTTATATAGAATATTTTATTTTATCAATCAGTTACAGATATAAACAAGCTCTCCTGGAGCTTAATTACACAGAATTCATGTCTTCAGGTGTTCAGATAAGTAATTTTTATATCTGATAAAAAAAAAAAAAAAATCAGTGAACATTCCCAGTGAAGTTTTTCGACAATGAATGTTGCACAATTTAAAAAAGAGATATTTTTAATGATGATGGAAATTGGGACGGTGAAATTGCATCATGTTACTAGGTCACAATTACATATATGCATTTATACTGTACACTTGACAGTAGCATAGGGATGCTGTCTGTTGTTGTGTGGAAATTGTAAAGTTATTTCTGTACCTGACCCTTCAGACCTTGCTCTTTGAGTGTCTCGATGTCATCCCTGGTCAGTTTCTGGGATTTCCCATCATCTACAATGTTCCTGTTGTCTGTGCCCGCCTCTTTGGCATCTGGGAAAACAAAACAAATAAAACATAATACAGAGTCTGATTAAAATCATACATAACATCAATCCGCTCCAGAATTTAAATGTTAAAAGGACTGATGTGCACGAATTAAACATCTACACACCAGATGAGCTCTGTGTGGTCTTGGCTGTCTGTGCCTGCAGGTTTCCAGAGACGATTTCGAACGTAGATCTATAGAGATGCCCAATTGCATTGTCTAAGAAGAACCATTGTTTCTCAAAAATAATCTTCCTGTGAAGAACAAAAAACAAAAACAACATAAACAAACGCAATAAATTGATAAGCTAGTATTTTTTTCTGCCAATGCCTTTGAATTAAATCATATATGAAACACTTACGAAGAGCATCGCCACAATAAATTAAGTTTATGTTAACATCAAATGTCGAGTAAAAATAATTAGACTTACTTTTTGAGTTGAATTTGCACAGCTTTGAAAATGTCCCCACGTTTTAATACTACGTTGTCACCCTCTTTGATTCTGTACTCAGAATCACCCTCTCCAGTGTCCGCCATGATAAGGCAGATAAATCAGCACGGTTTCCTTACAGATAAATGTCGGCTGCGACTGGTAATCCAAAATCACCACATGCAAGGCACGGTTGAAAAAGGCACAACAGTATCCTTAGAGGAAAAAACAAAACAGGATGTATCACTATTCCCACGTGCAAGATTTCATTTCCTCACCGCCCCAGACCAGCTTAAACGATAACATAGCTCACCTCTTTCCGGGTTTTTTAAAACGTCGTCGCCTGTGATTCGTTGGAGAAATATTTCAAAGTTTTTACAGCCAATGAGTGAAAGGAGGGGGACGCACGGTAAGAGAGTAGACTGCCGAATAATCGATTGACAGAAGCCCAGCTCATATTTAAACATTGAGGGAAGGGGGCGCTGAACTAACATTATATTATTGATGTAAACCAACAAACTACAAAAAAAAAAAAAAACTTTACAAAAATAAGTTCCAAGTTTTTATGTTTTATAATAAACAACCCCAATAAGATCTTATTTTTATATCTCATCTTATAAGAATTTGTTCCTTATGTGGAACAGATACTACGTCATTACATAAAAAAATGGAAAAAAAGACAAGCAGACAAATTCAAAATCACCTTTTAATGTTTTTATACAAACCTTGTGAAAAATCTTACATGATCTTAAAAAAACCTTAATTGTTACAGTGTCAGTTTGAAGGCAAAGACACGTCTTGACTATATATTTACATTAATACCATTTTCTTCTAGTGCCGTTAATGTTCATTTCTGTTGTTCTGTCAATGGTTATGTTTCTTTTCTTTGACAAGGAAAGCTTTTGACATTTTTTTTTAACCGTTGTGTGTGAAACATTTGCATTGTATGCGTGTAAACAACAGATGCACTTGAAGTAGAACAGCCTTATACTGTATCTTATTCCTGGCCTCCTGTGAGTTTATGGAACAGCTCTTCGTCCAGTGTTTCATTCTGGTCTTTGGCTCGTGTGGACAGGAAAATGTAACCACCAATAAACTCATGAACCACTTTGCAGTCACAGCTCAAGCAGCAGAAAGCTATGGTCACATTCTGGTCAAACTCTATGGTTACCTGCAAATACATTTAGAAATAAAAATAAAAATATATTTTCTAACTGCTGAAATTATAATAAGGGAGATAACATGGCTATAACAATCAGTCACCTGTCTTATCTCCCAGTTGACATTCCACTGCTTCATGTTGGCGAACCTCCACGTGGTGACAGGGAGGCCAGTGGACATGTCAATTCGAATCAGGCGGTTGTATGAGATTCCCAGAATCTCATCTTTTTTACCGCCCTTGAATCTGAAACGTATGATAAATAATTCAAATAAAATTTAAAAGTTATAAAATTAACATTTAATCAACTTGACATGTACAACAAAAGGGTGTAAAATCATGTACTGCACCTCACTATGTAATAGTTGATACCAAACTCTGGAAGTGACTGCCAGGCTTGAATAAAGCGCATTTTTGCATCCATAAGAGACAGATTTGCAATGTTCTGATGTGCCTCCAGGATACGAGTTGCCAACTTAAAATGATCACAAGATTAAATGAATAAGCAGTTCCTTTTTTTAACTCTTGAAGAGTCCTTATTATCTAAACAAACCTGTTTGGTCTTCTGCTTTTTGGCGTAGCGTGGTGAGACAAAACACTCAGCGTTCATCTCCATTGAGTCAACGTCGGGAGCACTTTGTCCAGGAGGGGGTGCCAAGCTCTTCATTTGCAAAAACGATTGAATATTCTTCACTTCTGACTTGTAGGAGCTGTAGGCCATCGTCTTGCCCTTAGAGGCAAGGATGCAGGCCGCTTTCCACTTGGCATACTGTGTTTCCTAAGACAAAATAAAACAAGAGCTAAAAGTAAAAGTAGCAGCATTAAAAAAAGGATTGGACATGTGGACATCCACATTAACTTTACATTGTCACATCGGATGTTCACTTCGTTCATCCCATCAGCAACTGGGAGCAGGAGCTTGATGCCAAACCTCTTGTCTGTGACGTTGACGTCGGGAACAACCTCACAACCTGAAAATAAAAAGATGTATGGAGCAAACGTACTAAGAAATAAAAGCTTTTACCATTGTACACTGCAAGAGAATTACAATGCCAAAGTAGTTCATTTCTTGAAATATTTCTAGGATGCAACTCAGACTTTTACCATTAGATATTGATAGTCTTCTTTTAATGTCCATTTACATTTACATTGCTCTGAACAGTAAGGGTTAGTTCACTATGGCACTCATTACTACGACCTTCTGTTTCACTGACCTCTTAGGTGGAACTGCTCTATAGGTTCTCCACTGGCGGCCTCTTTGTTCTTGTAGTAAGAAATCGTAGTGTCTTTAAATACAAACCAGTACTCCTTGTAAGGCCGTAATGTCAGTCTTCTGGGCCTGCAATATGACAGAAAGGTTGTTGTTTACTCCTGTTGTACAGCTGGACGTTTAGTGTTGAAAATGAATTGTGTATTTTCTTAAAGAACTAATCTGCTCTAATTAGAAGACCATTTGATGTGACATAGCTTAATGTGTAAAAAGTGTACCTGAATAGCCGCAGGGAATCTGACAGCTCTGGAATGTCTGTAATGTCTTCCTGGGGGCAGGTGAAACAACAGTCAATTACCCTGTGTTTTTTCTTTCATCACAAAGCATAGACATGCAATCACTGGAGGTCCGCAAATCAGCTCCAGCCTAGAAATAGGTGTTCTTACGCAGCAGGAAACCCGACATGTACTTATATTTACCCTGGTCGAGTAGGTCTCAAAAATATGTTTACCAGAATTCTGTCTGTATGTCCGCACTCGAGCGTCACCTCCAGGTTGGACAGGGCGGCCTCCACTTCATCTATTTCTGGTTCTTTGGAGTGGTCCAGAGGTTCGTTGGAAACAGTCAGTTTACAAATGTGATACTAAAAAAGGCCAGAGGTGAAGTATGTTTTTTACTCTGGATTAGAAATGTTGAAATGTAGAAATACAATGCCCTTAAACAACATGACTCATGTGGTTATGCAACTTTGGCATTAATCATAGGGAGTTTTGAGCACAGCCCTCTGCCTGGCAGCTTCTGAAATCAACCCTTATCAGACGTTTCAATGATATTTCAGATGAGCTACGATTCAAAACATACCACAGTAAAACCCTGATCAAATACAAGTTGACTTAATATTAGTATAATGATTAAAATGTAGTATAAGTCAGGATTTTCTTTTATCATTGTAGCTGGAAAGGTCAATACTATTGTTGTCCATATCTGTGGTAGAACTTTGTTGACCTGTAGTGAAGCGAACATTAGCATCTCCTCATCGGTGCAGTCAATCTCCTCCAGCAGGATAGACCAGCGTGCCTGTTCGTACAGCTGTGTTATCCTTATGGCGTCATACTAAAACATAAAAGTATAGTCTTGTTAGTTTGGGTCTATATCTTTGAACCTAAATAAACTCTGATTATTTTAGGTCTTACTTTGGGATTGAGGTCAAAAAAGACATTGTACTTGAACCGAAGCAAAAGCTTGTCATCATCTTGAATGTCCTGCTCCATGAGGGATCTGGACGAGTCCAACCACCTGTCAATCACAGCAACGACCAAACATGTGAGTCGCTGACACAGGTATTACTATAAACGGTGTTAGAGCACCTGTTTAAATATTTAAAGGTTTCTACCCTGCGTTGTTGATGGACTTGTCCACCAGTGAGAGCGGTTGGTACAGCTTGGCCAACTCAGCAGGCGGCAGGTTTGGCTGAGAGTCAGCGAGAGGGTTTTCTCCAAACCACACACTGGTGGCTGACATTGGCATCCCGTTTTCTGGGTCATAGGTTGCTGTCATTGTCTTACTATTGTACATGAGACCTTTGAGGAACATGAGAAGAACCAAAGAGCAGTGAAATAAATGTGTTTTGTTTTTACAGGATAGAAAGTGACCTCTGATATTGCAGGACAGTATAGAAAATGTCAGTCAATATAGTGAATGCAAGTGAGAGCATTTAAACCCCCTGTTTAATTCACTAAAACAGGCGTTTTAACAAATTATATTATACAACTCAAAATTATGGTAATAATGATAATGTTATGAAGTGAATGTAAATTATAATTTTCTTAGTACCTGCATTTCCGGCGCCCCCACCAAGAATGTCAATGTCCCAGATGTCCTCCGCTGGTTGGTTCTTGTCTTTCTTTTTTTTCTTTTTGGATGAATGATCCGGAGGCTTCAGCAGAGACAGTTCCTCTGACCTCCTGATGTCTGAAAGTATGTAAATACAAATAAGAGTGTGGTATTTACGTCCTAACACCAAGAACATTATAGGTTTAATGTGTTATATTACAAAAACAGCGAGGAATATAGTCACAGAAACACTTACTCAGCATTCTGCAGATCTCGGCCACTGCCTTGAAGACCACATTGGAGAAGCTGACAGTTATTTTGACGGTTTTCATATTGGGAAGCTGCAGCAGCAGAGGTTTGTGTTGCGGTGTGTAGCGCAGAAAAGCGTCAGCCTGTACACCACAAAGATTTAAAATCAGATGGACTATGAATTAAGAGGGTGGTTTTTAAACCTGGGTGACCTGATGCAAAGTTCTACTGCTTTTGTTATGGCACTTTATATTTTAGGTGTGATCAGTGCCTGTTATGTCTCTCTTGCACCTATAGGTGGTGTAGCTTCCAGTTTGTTTCTTTTGTTGCTCTGAGTATCATTATTGTTTTCAGGTGTTGCCTGTGTGCGGGGGCGGAGCTACCTCTACTTAACCTGTGCCTGGCAGGTTGCAAGCCTCTTTTGCTGCTGAGTGATGTCCATGCTCCTGTCGCCCTGTTAGTTAAGTATTGTGGTGTGGTGTTGTGTCCAATTCCTTTGCATTGATTAGTGTTGCAGCCATTTGATTACTTCTCATTTGTTTTAGGTTCTGTTCAAGGTAGAGGCCTTTCATTGCCTTACCAACATCAAGTCGTGTAGATGGGAAGTTTATTTCAAATTGAGTTGACCAGTGCTAAAAAGTGCTTAAAACGCAAAGTTAAATCTGTTTTTCTAACTTTTATAATTAAAAGGGGAATCTTAGAGTGCTTTGGAAATATCTCCATTTGGTTTTCTGTTGTTTTGTCATAACCTTTGGAATGTGTAATGCACTGGCTTCTTTTCAGAGGTTGATTAACAGTTTTTTCTGGTTTGCCCAGCTGTGAAGCCTATGTAGATGATGTGGTCCTCACCTGCCTTACCGGAAGTTGTCCTTACCTGTCATAGGTCACATTAACTGTAAGTCATGGTTATTTTTTTTTTTTTCCCTGATTGGAATAGTTTGTTAATAGTACAGTATGGTTTCATATTATGTTCTGAAATTGTTGCATGCATCCTATGCAGTGGATGTGGTGCAAAGCATTATGGTAATGTGTTGTACTCTATCATTCATAGTCAAATTATGGAGACTAAAGTCACCATTTTGGTGTGGAGGTGTTATGTCCCTCTTTCACCTATAGGTGGTGTAGCTCCCAGTTTTGTTGCACTGCCTGTGATCTGTCTCGTTGTTTTCAGGTGTTGCCTGTGTGCAGGGGTGGAGCTACCTCTACCTAATCTATGCCTGGCAGGCTGCAGGCCTCTTATTTGGAGTGAGGTGGCCTCCACGGAGACTAGACTTTGCTGTTGTTTGGTACTTCATGATCTGCTTCTCATATTTTCCCTTTAAATTCCTATTTGTATTTGCATTCTTTTGTAATAAAAACCCTTAAGACATGAGCCTTTTTGACTGCTAGTCCTTCTGTGTTGCATCTGGCATGGCTGGTTGTAACAGTACCATTCACATGTTTTATTAGGAAAACTCTATTTTAAATTAAGTTAAACATCGTACCTGAATTCCATACTTGTCTAAGGTCCAGTGTGTCTTCAGCAGCCAGAACTTCCTCTGTTCCCACCACAGAGCATGGTCTGACCAATCCTGAGGAGCCTCTACAGACATTATCATTTGATAAAATGTTTTGGTTATTTGTACATTATTAACATTATTTTTAAAACTTAAATGTCAGTCAGGTTTCTTACTGTGGAATTCTGAAATATTTAACTCAGTTCTAGACACCCTCATACTGTAAAATAATGAAGTTGTACTACATGTTGTTGTGTAAAAATGTAGAATTTGGTTGTGTAAGTAACAAATGTCAACTTAAATCAACAATATATCAAATGTGCCTGTTCTGTTTTTAGCAGTGAAATGTCCCAACAATCTCCACTACTAATAACGCTTGTTCCCAGTAGTGGAGTTTGCCCAATGGTGTGTACAGTAGACAGCTCGTGGGTGAAGCCTGATGAGTCGACCTGACATCATGCTATGACGCAGGGCTAAAAGCCTCCCTTTGACAAACCCAAAACCCAGTTGTGGTTTCTCATTCTTCTTACACCCTCTGATGTTTGCTTCTTTGTGTTTATGGGGGACATGTAACTGAATATTACACCCTGGTTGAACTTTGGCCCCTAAGGCTACACACACACACACACACACACACACCAATAAGTTGGCACAACACAATAGCTCTGCAGTGTAAAAAAAAAAAAAAAAGTTGGCAAATATAGGTGTGGTCTGAGACAGAAGTGCTGTGGCTGAGGAGGGGAGTCAAAGCTACAATTAGAGGATGAAGACAACTTATGTGCAGCAGGAAATGAATGTCTCTGTGTACAGTTACATCTGATGCTGCCCTCAGTAGGTCTATTGACATTAAGGTACAATGCCTACTGTATTAAATGGATTGGGCCACAGCAGGTGAGTTTTTCACCCTTGGTTTAAAAACACTCACTGATTTTCTCCACTAGTTTAAGCATCAGGCCTCCAATGTGTAGGTCTCCCTTCACCCTCAGCTTGAACTTCATGGATTCGTCGCCATCTTTCTGATCCACTTGCACAGTCAGCTCCCACGATGTTTCTCCATACTCTGCAGCTGTTATCATGGCCATGGTCTGTGAAGGACAATGGTTGACATCAGGTAAAGGACTTGTCATGTTTGGACATCATTACAGGGCAAAATGCAGGTAAAAAAAAAAAGCTTTGATTCCTGTTTGGAAATGCACAGGGGGAAATTCCACCCACTCTTTTCTCAAGCTCCTTTATTTTAAAGGTTAGGAAACATGTAGGGTAATAATGTGACTCAGGGGTTAAAGAGTTTCTCAACATCTTGAGTCTGGCAGTCGACAAACTTCTCCCAGAAGATTGATTATTAGTATTTCTCTGAGCTTACACACTGAGATAAGATAAGATACCAGCAAACAGACAGATGTAGAGGCTGGTTCCTGCAGAACGAACAGTGTGAGATTGTGAAGCACACGGAACATAAAGCAGACGACACAGCTATATGCTGCAGGGTTGCTACTTGGAATGCTAATTTTGCTAATGTACAAGGGGATGAAAGACAGCAGCACAGGCAGAAAGGGGAGAAGAGTGGAGGAGGTGCAGGGAGGGGTGAAGCTGTGGAATGTGTGACGAGCAGGGACATGAATCTGGTGCAGGAGACCATGGAAAACAGCACATCACCAAACGCTGCACCGATCTCTGTTCATTTCACACCTGAGCTATGAAACTCAGAACAGGACGCACAGATTCCTACGCATGTTTTCCAACAACAGAAAGAACATGTTTTAATGTGTGCTGCCCCAATGAACACATACTGGATAAAAAGCACAGCTGGAGGCTAGGTTTAATAAACACACTGCTCTCTCTGTGCCACCCTCCTCCCTCTACAGCTGAAGGCTACAGTACTGTGAGAAGTTTCACATCCAACGTGATGTAAAATGTCTAAGTATGATATGCGGAGTGTTCACATATAATAGAAATCAACTTTTTGTAGGAAAGCTACTTTCTGAGGATGACAAAAATGTGCAAGTCTGATGTGTATCACAAACCTTAAACTGTGCACAGTTGAGGACAAATGTGTGTCACACTAAAAATGAAACAGAAATACTGTATCTTGGAGATTCACAACACGTTTAAGAACTCCTTACACAATTTGACATTTGTAAAATTGAAAAAGAAATTGTGTCACAACAACATTACACAATAATCAAAAGAATACACCGTTAAATGCAAAGCAATAATCAATAGAGTGCATTCAAGATTATAATCTGATAGCCCATGTTTACAAAGTTTTAAAGGTAACAGGTCATGTTTGAGCCTCTAACAACAGACATAACAGCACTATAAAGTTGAAAATTAACTTTACCTAATTTATTATTAACTTCTACTAAGGTATGAACTCCTACATAGTTCAGGGCCATGGGGTCAGTTTAAAAACAAAGTTTGACCATTATAATTGTCAACATTAAAATTGTTAATTATTCCTACCTTTGTTTAGAAGTTTTCTGCTTGATGGCTTTTCCCAGATAATGTGCAGGAGTGAAATGATCAGGAATGAAACTTCTCCACTCTGCTGCAGTAAAGACACGCCTCTTCCACACAGGTACCGACCAGGAAGTGAGCTGCAGAAGTCAATAGCTTAGGTGAGTCTGTAAATAAATACGTATTTTTAATTTGCTTCTCCATTTCTTATTAAAACAACACAACTTGAACGCAAAATACACAAGCATTAAGCAACATATACTAATTGTTGTTAGTTATTGTACGAAATAAAAACATTTCCAACGTCACATGGCACGCCGTGACGCTCAAGTGTTTATAAATGTTGGTAAATGTTAAAAAATGTACAAACACAGTCGTGTCACGTTATAGTAATATATTATATATTTCTTATTTTGCCAAATTAAATATATCTTTGTTAAAAACAAAATTATTTAAAAATTGTATATCCTTAAGTATTCCATAGCCTGTTTATGCAACTTTTGCAAGCCAGCAAAATTCAGTTGAAGGGTAGTTTTATAATTATTTCCCAATTTGCACAATGCAGGCTTTTCTCCTGGTCATTTAATCATTGATTAAACTCTTATGCAAGACTGCCATCCTGTGGTGTAAATAGGTAAGTTCACGCATGTCTGGCTGTAAACGTCTGTCTCAAGTATTAGAAGGGGAAAAAAGAGAATAACCTTCATTTGATGTGGATACAGTAAACACTGAGGTAGTGGTGAAGACATTGCATATTTTTATAAATAAATAAAAGCAAAGCAACCACCCAGCATAAATATGTTTTGTTAAAAGTCTAGGTGTATAAACAATACACATAAATGGCCACAAGACGGCGCCTTTAGACCTTTTTCTAAATAAACCAAGACTACAGAGCGTGACCCAGTCTTCAAAAGATATATCCCTTTGACTCTGAACAAACGTAAAAAAACAAAGTACTGGAAGATAGGAGACCATTCAGGGGAATAGAATGTTCACAAATTACTTTTCATAATAATTATAACGCTCGATTATATTTTTTTAAATTAAAAAAATGTACTTACTTACTTACTACTAGATAAAAAAGGGTTGTGCAAATGTATATTTTTCAAGAAGTTTACGTAATCACAGTACCTGAGCCCAATGACACAATAAATAGAGTAAGTGATGAATTTTTGTTTTTATTTGTCCCAGTCAGGGAGGATAGATGTCATCGTCAGCTACAGAACACCACCCCTAAAACTGGTAAGTGTTCAAGGACATTTCAACATGGTGCTTGTCTGCCAGTAAAAGGGCTTAAACCTGGACACTCTGGATAAATGACAATTTCTCTGACCGTTTGACCACACCTAACAGATTAACTGTTAGCAATCGTCTATGCTCGCTGTCCCCAAGTGTCCACTGTTGGCACAGGGTGTCTCGAGTCCTGGTGCATGAGAGGCAACGTACGTTCCATGACAAAAACAAACAAATAAACCTCCAGGCTCATAAACTGTGTCACTGGTGGACAGGGACATGGAAAATAACATCATCGGGACCTGTCAGCTCTGGATGGAGTACAGACACTGAAACACTAAGTCCATGTCATCATGACACCTGTGGTTCCAATGGCAACTTCGTGGACGGGATCCAAGCTAAAAGTGAAAATCAGCTTTACTGCAGCGCCAGGCAGAATGATAAAGTGCAGCCTGTAGACTGATGAGGAGAGAGAAGGGAAAAGTTTTGGACTGTGGTTTGAGACACAATATATTACATCTACTGCCTGAAGCTGGTCTGAACCTACTTGGAAGCGGGTGGGAAACAACATCTGTGGAAGCCTTTGCTGGCTTTCTGTATTTATGGAAAGAGAAACCTCCTGGTGACCTGGGTACACGCTTACCCAATTAGCAGCCTCGCCGACGGATCAAATGGAAGTGAAAACATTCACTGCCGTGACGGAGACGCATCACAATGCCCCATTCATGCAGCGGAGCCCCATGCTTTGGGGGGGGGGGTGAGGTGAGAGAGGTTGTTCTTGTAGGGATATGTGTGTGAGGAGGTGGGTGAGATGAGAGGGAGTAATGAATGCAACGAGAGACCAACTTACCTCGCTGCTCTCTTTGACGTGTCAATGAAGACCTCATACATGGTTCAGAGGTAAACACCATTCAAAGGTTTTGTTTTTGTAAGGCTACCAACCACTGCTCACCTTGGTGTTCCACATCCCCTTCACCTCAACCCCTATATCCCAACACAACCACCGCTGTATCCTGTGGGACTGGGGCTGAGGAGGTCAGGAGGCCTGGGAAACAGCAGCGGAGGAGACACAGCGCCAGGCTCGGGGGAATATAGGCTACACTACCACATGGTCTGCAGAGTGTTACAGCGCAGACTCATTTTCTCTCCTCAGTGCTGTCAAAGTAACATCTTTTCCTACACTTTCAATATTACTTGGGTTTTTTTTTCTGGAGCCACACTGACCTTTGTAGCTGTCATGGAATCCATACCGATTCCCATAAAAAAAAGAGAAAAAGACAGGCTGCACCTGGCAGGTTATTTGTTTAACAAATGTCAAAGTAATAAAAAAATCATGTCATGATGTGAATCAAACAGAGCCAGATGGGATTTGTAAGAGAGGAGCAAAGAGATTGACCCTGTAGAGTTTTTTGTTTTTTGTTTAGTTTTGTTGAAAACATATGAATTTCTCCACAGACTTCAGCTCTGTCAAACTCTGGTATTGGACTGACTTGTTTACCCGGGTGGAGCCACAGGTGCTTCAGTAAATGGTATCTTGCGTCATTAAATGTTGATGTTTCCATTAGAGTCTAAAACGGTCACCAAGTTTTGGTCAGCGCTAGAGAAACGAACCAAATAGAATTTTAATGAGAAAAAGAATTATAGACTGCATGCATTTTCAATTTGGGTTTCGAGTTTCCATACAACATTGCCTAGATTGTTATCCCCTGTTTCCCTGTTCACCTCTCCTTGCATGGAAACATCTGAGAGAAATAAAACTTTTCATGGTGTCAGGTCAGATAGCCATAAATACAGGTTGTCAGCGCTGTGTGACCCTCACATCCAGAGCACAGGCTGCTCTGAGCTGTGGTTTGGAAAAGGATATTGCATGTTTGAATATTGCACTTCTTTTTGAAAAGTGACTACTGTAAAATAACTTCCATTATAAAGTATCGCTTTACCTGTCACCGGCAGTATTTCATCTCTGTGCTGCCCGGAGACATTAAAGATATGGAGGGACCGAACACAAATGTACAGAGGAATACTCAGCCCAAAGTAAATAGAAGAGAGAAAACAAGAATGACATGACAGATCGACTGTCACTGGTAGAAACCACCGTCTGTTGTTGTTGCTGTTGCTGTCGTCTGTCTTTATCTTTAAGTTTCAGCAATTGTTTTTAAGCTGCTGTGCTACTTTTTTTTTTATTTCCTGAGTGACTCTCAGATGAAATAAATTAAACCACATACACTTTCCTGATTCTTTTTCAGTTTGTCAGAGAACTTCCTGTGTTTGGTTAAAAATGAATTTCGCCATTTCTTGCAGGTCTCAAATGCAGAGGATGTGGACTGATTTAGCGGCGTGTGTGTGCAAAAAGTGTCGAGATTCCGTTCAGCCACATCCAGCGCCGCAGAGAGCCACGGAAGAATCGACCCTTGATGTTGACCTGGAGTTTGCCGTGACTGATCTCACAGGTAAATCATAAAGAGGAAGCGAGGCGTTGTGTTCCTTTCCTCCCTACATCAATTTGCCAACTGGTTGTGAATGGGTGCCATTTTGAAACATGCAAATGTGGGCAGCCTGTGCCTCTATCAGCTGATGCAGGTCGCTGTTTTCCTTGGCCGGGTCTCAAAGGTCTAAAGGGAGAAAGACGTACTGAGTGTTAGAAAAGGTTGCATAAACTCTAGTGGGATTACTTTACCAACACTTTCCATGGCTCGGGTCCCGTGAATGGATCCATTGTGGGTTAGGGTCTCTGCTCCTGTAAAGCAAACCTTGTCAGGATTTAGTTCATTAGCACCTAGTTTACTGTTTGAAGTTGGTTATTTATCTGCTATCTGAAGGGGAACCCCAGTTTGATACATGTAGATGTACCTGTGTGTGTGTGTGTGTGTGTGTTTAATCATGTGCAGACCTGCATAGTGTATGAAGGTGAAGTACTCATAGGATCTGCAGGGGGGTTTCCACAGCAAATTGCCCATGAACAAATAAAACTTCCCATGGTGGCAAGAAATGTATGGAGATCAAACACAGGAACACTAGTGTTCCTGTGGAGGTCGGAAACAACCTTTAGGAAACATACATACGGCACTCGTCCGGTCCTACTAAATATAGCGTTTAAATGCAAACACTCTGTGTTTGTGTATATATTTCCTTAATGTTCTTTCTAAACCTCAGCGCTTCTTCAGCGTCCTTCCTTCCCGTTTCATGGACATTTGAGGTCACTTTGGTAAAAAAAAAGGGTGTGTTAGTGTTACTTTGTATGTTCCTGAAAAATAGCCATTTGCTATCGAAAGATGAGAAAGTAAAGGAATGATCTGGAAAACAAATTGAAATGCGCAGGACCTGGTTTCACCAAAGCTGGTACGTGAAACAATGTTTACTTGTGGAATAACCCAGAGTGAGGCTGTGGCAGTCTGTCCTCCTCTGAGTTATTATACAGTATCCCAGTCTATTGTGTGAGTGTGCCTGCGTGTGTTTTTTTTCTCCTCCTTTCTTTTGTGATCTGTTTGTTCTTTGGAAGGCATCCTTGTGCTTCTGGTCAGACAAAAGTGCCGCGTTGAGCAAAACCTCCACTCCACTTTTATGGTCTGTGTGGGCCGTCCTATTTGTACATGCTTAGAGCAAATTAGACCAGCAGCTGCACATGGCCGTCCCATTCCATGTTGGCTTTTCATGATAAAAATATGCTTCGGTAAACCTCACAGCCTGGGTCCAGAAATACGCGGTTCGTTTCTTCTGGCACTGACACCTCTCCATATTTACAATCAGTGCTTCCCTGTGCAGAAGGAGAAAGGGGACAGCGAGAGGGAATAGAGGCGTTGAGACGAGATGAGGAGGACGGAGGGGTACGATGGACCACCTATGCAGATGCTTTCCACATGTGGAATGTAAATAAACTATAGTAAGATGAGCAGGAGGAGGAG